ATATATACATGTATATATATATATATATATATATATATGTATATATATATATACAAATATACATATAACACCCTCAATGAAGCGCTAATCCTTGTGAAAAAATAGCCTCTCAGCTAAAAACAGGGCTAAAAACCAGAGACTTGGGTTGACTCATCCATTACCACTACAATTTGAGCAATCCCCCAAACACAAATAATTATACATTTAAGAGGTTTTTTTCTTACTGTTATTCTGTATTGATTAAGATAGATAACTGCTTTTTCATTGGAAATATAACTTGAATTTAGATTTGGATCCTGTTGCCTGTGTTTATTTAGGCACAAGAGACATACAGCTCATCATGAACACAACCCCCTTCCAGGTCTGTGCCTTGTTCCTTGCTGTGGGTGGCATGACCTGTGTCCTTGTATCCACGGCATCCACTAGATGGAAAACCTCCAGCACTTCCGGCACCCTGATTACTTCCACCTCCGTGTTTGAAGGGCTTTGGATGCAATGTGTGGGCACCTCTGTGGGTTCTGTGCAGTGTAAGAGGTTCTCGTCACTCTTCAGCCTGGCCAGTAAGTAGTTTTATTAGTTGTCACCTGAAATATAATATGTGTTTACTGCAGTCTTGTACTGCAATTGTGCTAGGATCATTCTGTAGTGATAAAGTAATGCAAGCTGTCAAACTAAGATGAAACCAATGGCCGATTTATACATCTTTCACCCAGCTACACACTGGGCGAATGCCAATCGAACGGCATTCCCACCACTAGAGGGAGATAAGACTTTCCTGTTGCTCCTGAGCTCAACCTAGTGGCAGGAATGCTGTGTGACCAGTTATGGTGGAAACACACGTATTGATCAAATTCAGTAAGATATGCAAACCAAAGACCCTCCATTCAATCCATTTAGTGACTCTACCAAGTCAATCAGCTATGGTAAAATGTTGTCAGCTTGTCAAATATATATCTGCGTGTGTTGGAGAACCAATCATAATTCGGATCAATGAAATTATTGTTTTAATTGGAGTGTTTTAATTTAAAACTGATGGATCATATAATGGATCAATATTTTCACTCGATCACAACGGGTGGAACAGTGTACAGTGTTTTGCATTGTTCTATATTTTGATCAATAGTAAATCACTTGCACCTAAGACAGCCAAAATCAATATGTGTATGGCCACCTTAAAGGGACCCTGACTTCTATGTAAGAGATAGCCAAGAGAATGAGCATTCTAGGAAGTCATATCTGCAAAAAAAAAAAGTACATTTGTTATATTTGTAAACTAGAAAAATTATATATTTTTTGGTCAGTATTAGAAAGTCATAGCTGACAGCAGTTTTAAATTATATTTTTAATCTACTTAAAGTGCAACTGAAGACAAAACTGTTTTTTTTAGTTTTGGATGGAGTTAAAAGGGGGTTAGAACCCTGTAAGTTTTTTATTTCTTTTTGTCCTGGTGAAAGTTATCACCGAGAGTGAAAGAAAATCACACATTTTGAGTTTTCATCCGAACAGGAATAGATGGAAAAGCTTCCAATGGGGACACTAGTGGTCCTCCAAGACAAATATATACCGGATTGCTCCTACATCAGTCCCCACAGCCTGTCTCTTCCTCTGCTCCAGCAATGGATTGTCCCTCACCATCCTCATGTCCTATACACTGTATTGGACGTGATGACTTACAGGACCTTAGACTGATGAAATGGAGGGGGAGCAAGGCTGAAGGGACTGGTCTAGGATCTAACTGGGATCACGGTTCAGTTGAGTATGTCTCTGTTATTTTAGCTCCCTAGGCAAAACAAGCACATAACCCTTGCAGTGCAGTGGTATCCCCACTACAAGGGTTAAGAGTCTATTTGTCTGGAGTTCTTCTTTAAATTGTAGTTCCACTTCATACCTAAAAACACTTTCTTTATATATATTTTTTACCTTTTAGATGTCCCTTTGGTAAAGGCCTTTGTGTAGATTTCTGAGCAGTACAAAAGTGAAAGTAGAGGGACAAGTGGGGGGACAAACTTAGAGACAGACTGAGCTTCTTCTCATTAACATACAACGCTTCTAAGTCTTTAACCCTCCTTAAAGTGGATTTCCACTTTTGGGATCAAATTTAGGAAAACCCTACTATATGTTTGTTATGTGTTCCTATTCACACAGCATAATGAAAAATAACTTACCTTTTAGATGTTTTGTTAAATCAGGCAAGATGGCTGATTCCAGGTTTTTCTTAGCCCTTTCACAATGGTCTGTCCCAATGTAAAGGCTTGGGACTGAAAGTTGAGGATTGTATTTATCTGATAAGCATCATTAACACACAATGGACAAGCCTTCACTAAATGGACAAGACCCCTCACCCATCACAACCCCTCCCAGGATTTAAAAGAAGTAGAAACAAGAAGAAATGTTAACACTTAAAACTCTAACCCAAGTAAAAGCTAAAATACAGGCATTTTTTAATGTATTTTTTTTAGCTTATGCTATGTGTATGGGAACTTGTAACAAATATTAAATAGGTGTTATCTCCAGTGGGCTGTGAAAATGGAAAGACACTAAGTTAGGTAGGATTTTTAAGTAAGTGTAAAAACACCTAAAATGTAAGCCGTTTTTTGTTTTTTTTAAGTTATGCTGTGTGAATGAGAACATGTAACACATTTAAAGTAGGCGGCAAACGTGGAGATGCACTTTAAATAAAATGTATATACTATAAAGCTTGTGTAGCAATTACGGCATGTGACAAAATTGTAGTTTTTTTAAAAGAGATTAAACTAAATCTGCAAGTATTTAAAGTGTTATCATATCTGAGGGTATTACAAGTCTGCATAGATTCCTGGTATTAGTTTGTATGCACAGGAAAATATATTTTGCCAAGAGCTATGAATAAATTACATGCATTTTAAGGATACTGGGCACAAATATAGGTAGCAGATAATTCCTGTATTATAGATTTGTTGTTTTTTCCCAAATGTATCTTTCCCTGATTCAGGATAGAAAACAACTATTGATGTGGACTTTGATGTTCCCTATCTGCTGCCGGGAAATAGTATTTTCTTTAAATAAGTGACACAAGAACAACACATGTTAAAGAGTAATACTCAAATTAGAGGAAGGATATTCTTACTTTATTAATAATAATACCACCAATGTCAAAGTGCAACTGAATTCACATGACATTAATTCTCAATTGAGGTAATCTAATAGGCACCTTTAGATTCCTGTATGTCTGGTCACATTTCATACAGAGCACCAGAGGTCTCCGGAATCCTGGGTGGTGTATTATACAAATTTTGAGTAGGTTTCTTGGTCAAGAGTATATCCTGCCCTATCCCTTCTCCACTGTTTCACTAATGGCTCATGATTTTAATAGAAGGCCTCACTATCACAGAGCAAAGCACAGGTGGTTGGAGGGGGTGGTGTATTTGCTGTATTTGATATTTCTGCGGCAAGAACCTAGAGGTTTTCCATGTCCATTTTATTTAATGAAGGGGTGACAGCTACCGGGACACTCCCCCTTCAGGGCTCTGCTAAGCCGCAGAGTCATGCTACCTCTTGCTAAACGCATTTTCGGGGACACTCCCCCTTCAGGGCTCTGAAGAAGGGGGAGTGTCCAAAAACGCGTTTAACAAGAGGTAGCATGACTCTGCGGCTTAGCAGAGCTCCTGGATAATTTCCATTCATCTCCACAGCAGTTTATCTATTGAGAACTACCAGTCCATTTGATGTTTATATATTGCTCCCTTTTGTGAGTATATTTGATTGTACTTTATTTTACCATTAAAAAGGATTATTGCACCAGGTCAGGCGCCCTGTGTTTTCTTATATAAATCTCCCTATACCTATGACATGGAAGGAAGCACTTCCCAAAGAAAAAAATGTTAGTATATGTTTTTGTTACAAATAAAGTTTTGGCAAATTTTTAGAATAGAATTTTGATAGCGATGGAAACTGTGTACGAATTTTAAACTATTTATATGATGTTCATATTGTGTCATATTGCTAACATGATGATGAGGATGGGGGAGGTATTGGTGTCACGGTCATAGTGGAGTGGGCGCAGTTTCGGTGTGTCACTGTCTCTGTGGCTGAGATAATTAATCCTTCTACTAAACCTTTGGTCAATCGCTAGACATGATGAGTCATGTGACCCGATGATAAAATAAACTGACAGAGACTGTTTACTCAGTGATTGGATCACTCCTACTACATATCAATATTCTGTAAAACATTAATTGCTTTTTTGTGCTGTTTGTTCTGAGAGATTAGGGGGATTACTGTTTACCGATCAAGGCAGGTGCAGTTATTTCAAACCCGATACTGAAAGTCTTCAAGTTTTGTGTTTTTTTTTTACATTTATTGCTGCCTATAAGGTATATTCTTTTCAGTTTAGATATATATATATACGTGTAAAAGAGGTTAACATGATTTAAATGATATTAATCTGTGTCAATATTTTTCTGTTCATTTGCTTGTATTGAAAATGCCATAGTAGTAGAAGAAGAAGAAGATGTTGCACATACAGCTATCCACTCCATGCCAAATGTAATTAAAGTCAAAACTTTTTTTAGATTATTTCAAATGCTGATGAAATCACTTACAATTGATGCTGCTCCTTAAAGTTTAAAAGTTTTCGTTTGCTGCAGAATCAGCTGGTCCCCTGAGCGCTGGTCCTGATATCCTTTCCCTTGCAGGGTCCTATGGAATCACCCTTGTGTGTGCTAGTAAGTTATCTGTGTATCTCCATAGACACAGCAAGGCAGGTCAATCCCTGCTCCACTCTCCTCCCTTCTTCCTTCTCCAAGGTAGTAGATGGGCAGTTGCAGGAGACTGCTCTGTTTCTTGTGACTTATACTGGACAGGAAGTTCAGGGCAGCCAAGCTGAGACAGTTGGAGTCAGCTGTTCAGAAATATGATAACATGCTTGTTCACATTAGAAGTGCATGCCTTACTTATTTCAATCACACTGCACCGCACGGTATTGCAGTTGATCTAATTTCGGGCAGGAGGTGCATTTGGCATACCATTCAAATGAATGGCAATATAACACACCTCCCAAACTGTTAACGCATGGTTAATGATGCGTCGCAATAGTGTGAACAAGCCCTAAGGGTGGGCTCACACCATATGCGTTGAAGCTGTGCTGGCTTTTTTTTCCAGCGCAGCCCCAACGAAAGACAAGGGAATTTGCCTTGTCACGTATTGGCTTGGCACACATCTCCACAATGCACGCAGTACTATTTTTCAGTGCAACGAGATGTGACACAGTACAACCACCTCGCACCCTTCTGTGCCCATAGGAAAAAAGTACACAGAGCGATGTACCGGGGACAGCACTGTGTCAGGCACCACTCACCAGCTGCTGAGCATTTTGCATAGCAGCTGGTATGAATTGGCCAAGTTCTTGGATAAAAGAACTTGGCCAATTTCTTTTTTTGTAAGTAGTTTTGTAAGTTTTGTTTGTAAGTAAAGTACAAGAAATACTTTGCTGGAAAATGTATATTTGTTTGATCTGGATTCATTATTGAAAAAAGTTTAAGTTCAATACTACTTACTTTAAAATATACACTGCACAACTAGA